ACCAGTAACCATAGCAACAGTGACCAAAGTAATATCAAAGATGGCCAGGTCCGTGAAACTGAAAGGCTTATCACTTTCTGACACGACAAGAGTCCAATCGAGGCGCAAGTTCATCCGTCAAAAATCTTCAATAACCGACAGCAGCTTTTATATTTGGGTGGAGAGATGACACATGAAATTTTCAGATGACACACAGCTGATTTAATAATAATTTATGTACTAATATTTGTTTGTTTGTTTAAATTAAATTAAAAATATAAAAACAATTAAATAACATTTTATATTAAATAAAAATATTTACATTTGTTTACAAAACAAAACAAAGGCAAATTTTTTAAAAGACATTTGATTGTTTATGAAAACAGCACAAAACAGTGTATTAATAGTAGTAGCAGTATTTTTAGACACTGTACACAGCTTTCCCTGAATTTATTCTTCACATTTCATTGCAGTTTCATTTGTTTAAGACTCATTCATTGTTTTCTCTTTTCTTTGTTAGTTCTTCTCAAGCGTGTCTTTATATAGGTCCCTGTCTTGTCCAGAGAATGGCCTTTTATTCTCTCAGGTGTGTAGGCGGAGTGATGCGGGAACAGGTGTTGGATCGCTCTTTAAAAGCATGAGTTATTCTCAGTAGTTCAGTAACTGCTTTCACTGGAGCGTCACACCTGCAAATGGAGTGGCTTCAAGTCTTTGGTGTCCTGGGATGTTTACTACACTGCAGGGGAACTCTAACCTCGCCACGGTTGGTTAAATTTACAGTCCTCTTATAAACTGTTTATCACTTGTCCTTACACTCTCAAAAATACACTCTTTTGTCTCTTGACAAGTTTTTTTCATGCTTCAAGACATTGTAATTTTAATACAGACTACCGTTCAAAGGTTCAGGGGTTGGTAAGATAAAATAAATAAATAATGAAATAATATGTCTCTTCTGCTCACCAAGGCCGCATTTATTTGTTTGAAAATTCATGCAAAAACTGTAATATTGTGAAATATTATTACAATTAAAAATAGCTGTTTTAAATTTAAATTTTAAATTTACATTTTTTTAATTTTAAATGTAATTTATTTCTGTGATGCAAAGCTACATTTTCAGCATCA